TAGAGGTGCACCAAAAGGTTAGTTTAGTTAAATTAGTTCACCGCTCAGGATTCACTTTCACGTGGTGTGACGCTCTGCGTATTATCCCGCTCTATGCGTGTGATCTCCGCTCAGTCGCTCACGGCCCATGTGAGTGCTCCACTCATATACCGTTAATGCTCATCGGAACAGCAAAGTCCACTCAAAAATTGACAGGAAACATCGATGTAGTACAGTATTGTTTCTGTTTGCAATAGCCCTACTGTGCTGTAACAAGGTGTGGTAAATGGGCAACTCTGGTAACGCTGCTCTCTCATTCATTGATCTGCAAACCGTTATGCTCAGGTGTCCTCTGATAATAATAGCTTTCTAGGATTAAACATTATTTGGATAATTGGTAAAAAAAATCTCTTAATAGCCCTACAGTGTGTTAGACCTACCTGAAAAACTAAAAAGCAATTTATTTAATGCGAAGGCCTGTCGTTATTTTTTATTTGTGCTATCATTATTAATTTCTTTTTTATAATATTAAAAATATCTGTATGACAGTATATTCTGCAGTTCTTTCCTGCTGTACCGAATATCTATACTTTTCAAAGTATCATATCGAATTTAGTTAATATTGTGACAAAATTAATTTTGTAGGGTGCCACAAATTTGTAAAAATTTCCAAAGGGTGCCACGACTAAAGAAAGGTTGGGAAACAGTGCTCTAGACCACAGGAGTTTTTAAACTGTAGGCTGCAAGGGAATACTAGTGGATCTATTAAAAAGTTCAGGGAAAACAATTAGGAAAAATGTACAAATAAATAGAAAATAAAATTAAGATAAAGACAAATAAATAATTAAGTACAGTACAGTATTATGAATAGAAAATGCAATAGAAAATTTAACAAAAACTAAATATTTTCTAAATAATACTTCAGACATATTTATGATCATTTTTTAAAACTCTATGTATTGTGCCTTTATATATAACAAATTCCTTTTTAAGATAGGGGTCCTTCACATGAGTATGCTTATACAGTATTTGGAGGGCCCGTTGCATCTAAAAGTTTAAAAATCCCTGTTCTAAACAACTGGCATATGACTGCATTAATCTGTTTTTTCTTTTAATTATTTATTTATTTATTACAAACTTTAACAGAAATGTTGGCATGCATTGTATTCACATGACAACTTATAAGCTGTATTAATTACTAAGTGATCTACATAATAAGTAGCAACGGTAAGCATTTCCAGTATTAACTGAACAGCAGGAACCATTTGAAATTTAAACCAATGTGAGTTCCCCTATTCCATGCAGAATTCAGAGAACTGACTTACATGATTTCTTGGAGGCACTGGGATCTTCTCTATGGCGGAAAGGGAATGTGGTTTCGCTCCCCTGGTGTTCAGACTGCACGGAGGAGCTCCACAGGTGGTACGTGAGGTGCTGTTGGAGCGCGGCTGGGATGAGTATGATGAAGAGGAGCAGGAGGAAGGAGACTGGAACCTCTACTGGAGAGCCTCTGGCTTCCGTAAGTCCGACTACGAAAACATCCTGCCATGGCAGAGACTGAACCACCATCCCAAAATGAGCCAGATTACACGCAAGGACTGTCTGGCACGACACATGAGAAGAATGAAGATTGCTTTCGGCACAGCCCTGTACGACTTCAGCCCTGCTGCCTTCATATTGCCAAACGAATACACAAAGTTTCTAGGGGTGTACACTAGGAATCGCATGACTGACAGAGGGAAGTCCCGCTACTGGATTTGTAAGCCAGTTGACTTGTCAAGAGGAAGAGGTATATTTCTGTTCGAGGATATCAAGGACTTGGTCTACGACTCTTCGGTAATTGTGCAGAGATACATCAGCAACCCGCTTCTCATTTCAGGCTACAAGTTTGATCTACGCATTTACGTTTGCGTAAAAAGTTTCTCTCCTCTTGTGATTTACATGCACCAGGAAGGCCTAGTGCGTTTCGCGACAGAAAAGTACACCCTTGCTTCTTTAGAGAGCCTGTACTCTCATTTGACGAATACCAGCATTAATAAGTTTGGAATGTGCTACGCCACGGACAAAGAGCGAGTGGGTCGAGGATGCAAGTGGACCATGAGCAGATTCCGCAGTTTTCTTCACAAACAAGATATCAACGAACTTCTGCTGTGGCACAGGATCAGCAATATCGTTACGTTGACTCTGCTCACAGCCGTTCCTTGCGTTCCTTCCAACCCCAACTGTCTAGAACTGTTGGGGTTTGACATCCTCATTGACGCCAGCTACAAACCGTGGCTTCTAGAGGTCAACTACAGTCCTGCACTTCCATTGGACTGCCCTGCTGATGTAAGTGTCAAGAAAGGGCTGATCAGTGATATCATTGACCTGATGAACTACAGGATGGTTGATAGTTTCAGACAGAAGGGATACTGCAGGCAGAGATCGGGTAGCCGGTATTTACGGCCAAAAATCTCTCAAGGGGTTTTGTTGCCCAAGACTTTACATGCAACTCCATTAGGCAACAAAAACAGGAATCAGTCTATCTCAAACTCTTCAAGTTCTCAAGACACTTCTGTAAATGTTTGTGCTAGTAATGACATCGGTTATGTTACTTGGCCCATTCACTCCAATTCGAAATCTATTGGACATGAAAAGGCTCCTCAGAAGTTTGAGGACATTAACGACGAGGTGGAATCCGATGGCCTGAAACTCACAACATTTAACAGCACGAGGCAATCGCACAGAAATGCACCATCTACCGTATGCAAGTTACCATCTCTTCACGTACATAAACTCAAATCTCCAGCCGTCCCATGGAACAGCATGACTCAAGACAGAGGCATCCCTCCTTGTCGCGTTGGGGACTTCATACTGACGTTTCCCTTTAATGAGGCTACGTGGAAAGCCTCTCAGGACCAAGCGGATGTTAAGGCTATTGTGAACGAGGTTCATAAACTCACAAACCGACTGGCATCTTCCTTTAGTGAAAAAGAGAGGAAGAAGATGGAAAGCGGTCAGAGCATTGGTGTCAGGGACAAATTTGAGCCTCTGCTTTGGGGGCCGAAAGACCCACCTCTTCTCAGCAAATGCTGCTCCTTGAATTCAGAAGTCAAGTAAAATGTATTTTGTTTTTAATTAATTGGTTTTTTTTTATTATTTAAGTTTGTAATTACAACACAACACAAGAAGAGGAAACTGGGAAGAGTACATACAATATATATTAATCGCATATATTTATGCGTGTGTGTTTGTGTGTGAAAGTATAACAGAGGTAAACAAAAAAGTTCTAAAATGTCAATATATACACTACCTTTCAAAAGTGTGTTGTTTTTTTGTTTATTTTTTGTGGACTCTTATATTCACCAAGACTGCATTTATTTGTGCAAAAATACAGTAATATTACATTTGAAAGAACCGTTTTCTATTTTAATATATTTTTACAAATATATTTAATGTCATTTATTCTTGTGATGGCAAAGCTGAATTTTCCACAGCCATTATTCCAGTTTTTAGTGTCACATTCATCCTTCAGAAATCATGTTTGTTTAAAGGGGTGGTTGATTGCGATTTCACTTTTTTAATGTTAGTTAGTGTGTCTCAATCGGGCTCAAATTGATAAGCAATATAGACGACGTCATTGTTTACAATACAACCGAAGCACATGCCGCTATGTTGAGGGGCGGGACGTTTAGACACACACTAGATGCGGTTTAGCCAATCACAACACACTAGGCCAGCTAATCAATCAGAGCCCATCGTGTATTTCTGAGGGAGGATCTTCATAAAAGCAGGAAATGATCAGTGCGTTCAGAGGAGAAGGGACAGAGAGGTGTGGAATAAAGGTAAATTATGTGAAAAATAATGCGTTCTTTAACAAACGAAGCATTAACACATGTTAGACTGCCCCCCATAAACACAATCAAGCCTATAAAAAAACCAGTCAACCACCCCTTTAATAAATTTTAATAAACTTAAAAGGCCAAATAGGGCATTTCTAAAGGCATAACATCAGGAAAATGTAACTTATCTTAAAATACACCCTTCCAAATGAACAAGGTTATTTTCTCTCGGTGCCAGTTTCTGTAGAACAGAATAATATTGTGACCAAATCAGAAAAGAACGAGACATCATGTATAACTTCTGAGTGATAACTGATCCAAATGATATATTATTAAATAATAATGTATGGCTACTTGTAAATAAAGACTAAAAATTACATTAAGAAGACATTTTAACGGACTCTATAAAAATAACTGTTTCCCTGAAATGTTCTCAGGTATCAAGTTATCAACGACGTTACCAGCTCTCTCTTACTATTTCAAGAATGTTCCTCTACTGGAACCAGTGTGTTGCAATGTAGTACAATGTCAGCACTAGGTCAGAGGGTCACAAGTCTTCACCTGCATACTGTATCAGATGTGTTCGTGCTGAGAGGTACTCTTAGCAATACAAGACACCTGCTGACAGTACATGTAAAAATAAACAGGCTTAGTTCATCCGATTGTCATACAGTTTCAATAATAAATTAATAAAGTACAAAACAGCACTTGAAACTCCAAAAAGTCTTTCTTCTTCTTCAGTATGTGGTCAGTTAAAGACTCATATGAATAGTTACTAAATTTGTCGATATAAAAAACAACCAAAAAATAACATGAAAAAAGTTTAGAAGTTATATTATAAAGTAAGTCCAATATAATGAGCCCTTCATTGTTCTTAATGCGAAGCCTCCCAGATGCGAATTTTGTTTCTTGCCTCCCATTTGTGTAGACAGTTTTAACTGATCCATCCGGGAACATCCTCCGCTTGTACTGTGAAGTGTGAATCTCTCTCTGCCCATTAGTAAACTCCACCACCTTTTCCCCGTGTCTGTGGAAACAGCGTGTAAGGGAGTAAATAAGAAAAAAGAAAGAAACAAATAGGAAAGGCAGACATTAATCTTACTGTGATATCTTGACAACAGTTCCATCTGGAAAAATGCTCTCCTCTCGACCATCGGAGTGGAGAATCTTGACCGTGCCATCCGGGAAGATGTCTCCCTTGTACCATCAGGATGGTGTTTTTCTATGTTAAATGTAACATTTAAAAAAAAACATTTAAAATTCCAAATTCACGGCAAAATTATACTGAAATTTATATACACTGAATTATACTAAAACGTAAAATTGTGAATTTCACAAATAATTACAAAGAAACGGAAAGAAAGGAAGTATACTAATAATGATCTGATTTATTTGCAATTTACAAAATAATTTTTAAAGTGTTTGTCAATGAAAGAAAGTCTTTCACATCATTTTTCCTAACCTCTTTGGTTGTTTGGAAACTGCACAACCTCCAACCCAGATGGATAAGTTGAGTGTGTTGTTCGAGCATCATTATAGTAGTATATCTAAATGTAAAGAGGTTAAATTGTTAACTGAGAAATTTAAAACAGTTTAATTGTTAATTTAACCCTCATGTTGTATTTAAGTCTTTTTGACTTAATGCATTGGACTTAAACTTATTAACTTTGCTCACACATGGGTATAACATCTCTTTTTATTAATTTTTTTATTTTTTAAAATTTTTGTATTTTTTGTGAGGATTTCCCCTATCTTGTTACACTTATGGTATTTCTGATCAAAAATTACTGCCCTTATATATTTCTCATTCCACCAAATACTGGATTCAATCTTTCTATTCTGTTTATTCAGCTGCAGCGATAGGCATTTTCTGGGTTTCTTCTGCGAGGCGTATTTGGAGTTTCAGCGCCAGAGCGCCCTCTGGCCTTTGGATGGAGATTTACTGCTGATCACAGAACCGTGCTTCACTGGAAGATAGGCGCGATATCGATTCCATTTCGATTTATTGTGCAGCCCTAGTCTCCACTGATTTGAGTTTATTCACCACAGTTTTTTAGTCAACATTGACAAGATTATCCACAAATAATCTGAGCATAAGCTCAGATCAATGAGGCCTACGAACAATCAGTTCTAAAAAGAGATACAAAACCTGTGCTAACTGAAAGGAAACATCTTGATAAAAATATTGAATCCAAACAATCAAAAACCAAAAACAAAAGACTGCCTGGAAAAAAACAACAAAGCAAAACTATTTTAGTAATTTGTGGTGCTTTGGTATAAGTGCTAAAAAAAGAACTGAAAAAAGAAAAATTATTTAGTCTGCACTTGAAACCATAATGAAACTGGAAACCAAAATATAAAATGAAATAAAAACTGTAATAACCCTGATTTGAAGACTTATTTCAAGAACACAAAAGAACAGTGGAAAAAGTGTGACACATCTGTAGCATCATGAGACAAAAACCAAAAGGTTTGGGCCTGTAGAAACATGTTAGTGTTCTGGTGGATGACCACAAAATAATTTGTGAATTTTGAAATGTTGCAGTACACCAGTAACTGGGAACAGACTTGATAAGACTTCATTATTCACTCGTGATACACACCACAGTCCCGTCAGCCAACGTGCGTTTAACATCTCCATTGAAGAACGTAACAGTGACTGACTTATCAACACCGATCTCTTTCTTCGTTCCATTGCGGAATGTGATCACACGGCATCCGCTCCAAAAAAGACGCTCTACCTAATTAAAAGTAGAGCACTTTTAAATAAATATTGTAAGCTTTGTGTAACTAAAATCTCTAATTGCAAAACACTGTCATTACCCTTCCATCCGGATAGCGGGTTTCCTCTCGTACTTTGTTTTTTCTGGCCTGGGATGCCATTTGTGTATTATTGCAGTCAGTATGATGATAAACCAAACTTCCCTGTGGACAAAAGTGTCATAATGATACTATGACGCGTTGAACATTTCATAATAGGAACTGGGTCAGACTATTCCATCACAATGAGTGATACAATGGGATAAAACACTGTACAAGTGTGAGTTATTACTTCATGCTCTAAATCTGAGTGTACTGATGTTGTCTGACAGATAGTTCAGGGGAACTATCCCTTTAAGAGAAATGTAAATACCTTTCCGCCTTGTGTAAACATGGCATTGTTCTGTGGACTGTCAATGGAAAGTGCAGGATTATTTCCTTTTTGGAAAAACATAACACACAAGACATGACAAGTTGTGCACAGTACATCCAATATGTGATGACAACTTGTAAGTTGGTTTATAGGAGATGAAGCACGAGAGAACATGCTTACTTAAAGAGTTGTCCATGCATTCTGTTAGCCTGTTAGCTTTGGTAACAGAACGTCCATTTGCCTGGCCATTCAAGGAGAAGAAAAATCAGATGCTTTCAATAAAATACAATGGAATCACTGTTTTCAAGTAAAATATCTAAAAAAGGATGTGTGTGAAACAGGACTGAAGTACTTTTTTTTTTTTTTTTTAAAGCATGTGATCTGTATTGTGTGCGTCACAGGCACGGTGATTAAATAAATATATTACATAAAAGTGATGCTATAAGCTGGTCTGACTAAATGTTCTAATTCAATTACGATATAAAATCAGGATTTAACACTTACACTGTATGAAATGGAGATGGGTAGATGCATTGCACATGCATGAATTAGTTATAAAGAACTGAGTCAATTATCTGACACTGGGCTTTGAGAGTCATCATGAATTATTTCTGAGGAGCTTAAAGGCACTCGAGAACATATTGCACACCTCACCGGGTTTACAGGAAATGAGTTTAGCTCAACAAGTCTGACTAAAAATAAATAAGGAAATATTTACTTTAAAGCCATAAAAATGTTTTACAGATTGAAAAACAGTTCTAGTTGTTATCAATGCACATTTATGATGTTAGCATACTAACATTGTCCTGCTGTGTCCTATGGATGATGGGCTTGTTAAAGGCCGGAGTTGCACTCCTAACGTGATAGGTCCGCTGTGGTTCTTCTCTTCTCTGCTCAAACTGAAGTACAACATATGTTATTCATTGAAGCACAGTATTAATAATCACAAAGTCTTTTAATAGTTTAAAATCACAAACAATAAAAAAAAAGTGAACAGCATATGCATACAGTATATACACAGATTTTTGTTTTGCGTAAAGGCCAGGTAATATTCCCTTCGATATTTAATCACTCAGATATGTTAATTCATTTTTTCCCCCCTGCTTTCCATTTAAAATATCTTATATATAT